AACCTTCACTGCTTTATGGTTATTTCCATCATATCTGCCGGGTGCTCGTCTATTTTTAAATCCTTTATATTAAGTTCGCTTGCGTGCTTGCTTGCTTGCGTGCTTGCTTGCTTGCTTACGACCGTGCAAACCTTTCTGTCGTTTTTTAACCCACTTCCCGTGATCCAATCGAGCTGACATTTTGCACACAGACTCGTTGTGCGTGACAATAAATTTTCGTGAAAATTTTTTCCAAAATTTTACAGTTTAGGGAATTTTTTTTAAAAATATTTAATTACCAATTGCTTAATGGTGGCAGATAATCATCTGACCCATAGGTGGCAGCCATCTCAAGCCAGAGGACGAGAGGACTCTAGCCGCCACGCATATAAAGGATTTATAGTGAAAAACTTTTTTTTTATTCCCCCCCCCAGCCTCACAACCCTCTCCTAGCGCTCACGCAGCGCCCCCCCCTCTCTCTCTCCCCCCCTTGCCCCTCCCCCTCCTTACCTATATAACCTCTTGCCACGGCAGCTCTCTCTCCCACTTCAACAAAAACATTTCTTGCTGTGGTTTTCCCACCTGATGATGATTGCTTGTGTTGCAATCGAAACGTCGTGATTTGTTTTATTCTAATTGATTTCTAACTACGTGACTTTACCGAAAGAACCAAAGAGTATGGATTCCTACAGTCACGAAAGCTTCCAATCAAGAAAGTACCCGTCTCTTCCCCTGGCTCACTCAGAACAGCCTCAAAGAGGATTACAACAGCATCAAGACCTTGCTGGACGCCTTGAAGTATGATGAGTACGGCTGGGAGGTCATCGAAGACTTCAAAATGGTGGCATTCCTGATGGGTCTCCAAGGCGGTTTCACCAAGTTTCCCTGCTATCTTTGCCTTTGGGACATCAGGGACTGGCCACACTCCCAAAGGCGTGTCAGGTCAGCCGGTGTCCTTGCAGGTCACGTTGGACCGACTCCATCAAGCGCAGACAGCGGCAATGGCAAACACCTCGAATGCCCAGGCCGCAAACGAACGACACAAAACACCACGGAATCTCACACTTCCACGGTCAGTTGGCGACAAGTCGTGGCTGCATTGTCCACAAAATTGCATCGACCACGGCAGGGCCCTGTAGAACTAATGCAAGTCAAGCGGCCGCAATGCGTACGTATGCAATTGGGACGTCGCCATTGGTACGTTTACCTGTCGCGCCTAAAACCATCTCATCCCCATGCGCTGTTTCGCCGGAGTCTGGGGTGTCCGACACACTCCATCTGACAGAGCCAGGAGCAGCAGAGCACTGAAGCTGGCCACGTGGAACGGTCCGTCTCTCGGCTGGTTGAGAGAAAGCGACAGGCCCACTCCCGTCATCTACGAAATCCAACATCGGAGATTGGGGAGGCTTACCGCAGCCTTCGCACGGAGATTCAGAGATCCGTGCGGCGCTGCAAGGATGAGTGGTGGGGGCGGTTTGCTCAGGAGATGGAATCTGCCTCAGTAGCCCGCAATCACAATTTACTCTAATTTCATAAAAAAAACTAACTTGCAGCGCCTCACCTATTACCATCATTAGGGGAAAACGGTCACCCCACCTCCGACCCCCAGGAACTGGTCTGCAGGTTTGCAGAGCATTTCTGTGAGGTCTTAGGGGACGGGAATTTCCTCAGCCCAGACAACATCGTGGGGCAGGGTGGGGACGACCCTGCTTGGGCTGCCGTGCCTCAAATATTGGCAGAAGTAGCCACCCCTTGTGAATGGCTAGCTGGGATGCCATCTGTGGAGGAAGTGTGAAGGGCGATTCGAAGTCTGAGACCAGGAAAAGCACCGGCCACAGATGATCTCCCAAGCGAAATGCTGAGGGAGGGTGGCGTTTGTGCACAGACTGCCCTACATGACATCATCACAACTGTCTGGACCACAGGACGGGTTCCGCAGGATTGGAAGGATGCCCTGGTAGGATGCCATTTTAAAGAGGGGGGACTGCACAGATTGTAACAACGATAGGGGTTCATCTTCTTGGTTCTTTCGGTAAAGTCACGTAGAATGGAAATAATAAAAAAGAAAACATTATAAAAAACGTCGTGAGAATTATTTTATTATGTTTTATTTTTATTATTTTATTATTTCCCTTCTACGTGACTTTACCGAAAGAACCAAGAAGATGAATCCCTGCAGTCACGAAAGCTTTAAATCGAAACATAATAAAATAATTATCACGACGTTTCGGCCACAACGCAAGCAGCCGTCCTCAGGTGAAGAACAGGTCTGTCGGAAAGACAGCGTCTGAGGTGTTTGTCCTACCGTGTTTCAGGTCTGCTTTATGTTCAAGATGAATCCCTGCAGTCACGAAAGCTTTAAATCGAAACGATAGGAGTATCTCTCTTCTCAGTGTGACGGGAAACGTCCTGGCCCCAATATGGTTTCAGACCAGGGCAGTCCTACACAGATGCCAATATGTTCTGTCTGCTACAGCAGAGGTGTAGAAAATTCGAACAAGACCTACATCTCTGCTTTATTGGCATGGACAAGGCCTATGATACAATCAATAGGCCTGGGCTCTGGGTTGTTCTTCGTGCTTTCGGAGTCCCTGACCCTCTGCTCACGATCATTAAGAACCTTCATGATGGTGAGCGGGCCCGGGTAAAACTACGTGGCCGGGAGTCGGAGCCATTCCCTATTCACATTGGGGTGCGTCAGGGATGTCCTCTGGCTCCGACATTATTTAACATCGATTTCGACCACTTAGTTTGTGAAGCCTTCGATGGCTGTACCGGAGGAGTCTCCATCTGGTACAGATACAATGGGAGGCTGATCGATGCCGACTCGTGATCACAGTTGTGATGATGGAGTGATGGGTGAGTGGGTGGGTGAGTGGGTGGGTGAGTGAGTGGGTGGGTGGGTGAGTGGGTGAGTGAGTGAGTGGATGAGTGAGTGGTTGAGTGGGTGGGTGAGTGGGTGAGTGACAGGGGCTGGACAAGAGATGGAGTGATGGGTGAGTGGGTGAGTGAGTGGGTAGGTGAGTGAGTGGGTGAGTGAGTGAGTGGGTGGGTGAGTGGGTGAGTGAGTGGGTGAGTGGGTGAGTGAGTGGGTAGGTGAGTGAGTGGGTGAGTGAGTGGGTAGGTGAGTGGGTGAGTGGATGAGTGAGTGGTTGAGTGGGTTGGTGAGTGAGTGGGTGGGTGAGTGAGTGGGTGAGTGACAGGGGCTGGACAAGAGATGGAGTGATGGGTGAGTGGGTGAGTGATTGGGTGGGTGAGTGATTGGGTGAGTGAGTGGGTGAGTGGGTGGGTGAGTGAGTGGGTGAGTGGGTGGGTGAGTGGGTGAGTGAGTGGGTAAGTGAGTGAGTGGGTAGGTGAGTGAGTGAGTGGGTGAGTGGGTGGGTGGGTAGGTGAGTGAGTGGGTGAGTGGGTAGGTGAGTGAGTGAGTGGGTAGGTGAGTGGGTGAGTGGGTGGGTGAGTGGGTGGGTGAGTGAGTGAGTGAGAAACCTTCAGGAGCCCTGCCACGATTTGAGATTGCGACGTTTTATAGGGAGCCGGTTCCAGCCCTGGAACGTTTCATGAGGATCCGGATCCCATTCATTTCCACGCGGCGCGGATAACAAGGAACCGGGACCCGCGTCACGGGGCGGGGCGGGGGGGGGCGGGGGGAGTATCCGGATCCACACTTCACGAAATGGATCCGGTTCCACGCCTCCCATGTTAAGCTATGGGGGGGGGGCTAGGGAGAGGTGGGCGTGGCCACGAGTGAGAGGGCGGGGCTAGGGAGAGGTGGGCGTGGCCACGAGCGAGGGGGGAGGGGCTAGGGAGAGGTGGGCGTGGCCACGAGCGAGGGGGGAGGGGCTAGAGAGAGGTGGGCTTGGCCACGAGTGAGAGGGGGCGGGGCTAGGGAGAGGTGGGCGTGGCCACGAGTGAGAGGGGAGGGGCTAGGAAGACGTGGGCGTGGCCACGAGTGAGAGGGGAGGGGCCAGGGAGAGGTGGGCGTGGCCACGAGCGAGGGGGGGGGCTAGGGGGAGGTGGGCGTGGCCACGAGCGAGGGGGGAGGGGCTAGGGAGAGGTGGGCGTGGCCACGAGCGAGGGGCTAGAGAGAGGTGGGCGTGGCCACGAGTGAGAGGGGGCGGGGCTAGGGAGAGGTGGGCGTGGCCACGAGTGAGAGGGGAGGGGCTAGGGAGAGGTGGGCGTGGCCACGAGCGAGGGGGATGGGGCTAGGGAGAGGTGGGCGTGGCCACGAGTGAGGGGGGAGGGGCTAGAGAGAGGTGGGCGTGGCCACGAGTGAGAGGGGGCGGGGCTAGGGAGAGGTGGGTGTGGCCACGAGTGAGAGGGGAGGGGTTAGGGAGAGGTGAGCGTGGCCACGAGTGAGAGGGCGGGGCTAGGGAGAGGTGGGCGTGGCCACGAGCGAGGGGGGGAGGGGCTAGAGAGAGGTGGGCGTGGCCACGAGTGCGAGGGGCTAGGGAGAGGTGGGCGTGGCCACGAGTGAGGGGGGAGGGGCTAGGGAGAGGTGGGCGTGGCCACGAGCGAGGGGGAGGTGGGCGTGGCCACGAGCGAGTGTGTGGGAGAGGGGGGGGGTGAGGATCCGGTTCCACTATAAAGGCGCCGCGCGTCGCCCGCGGCGCGGACCCGAGTCGAGTCGCGCGCTCCCGCGGGGCCTCCTGCTCCTGCTCCTCGTCAGCCGCCGTCACCGCCTCCGCCTCCATCGCCACCGCTACCGCCGCAATCCGTCGACATCCGCGGTGAAATGTGACCGCCATCGTCCGGAGAGGGCGACCAACTCGTAGCGGGGAGCCCGCGCGTCTCGCCGCCGGGAGCTCATCGCGAGCAGCAGCAGCAGCAGCCGCGGCAGCCGCGGGAAGAAGACGACGACGAAGACAACGACGACTTGGGGATTTTTTTCTCTCCTCACCGCCGCCTCCCTCAGCTCGTCACCCCCCCGCGCCCCGCCCCTCACCACCCCCCCGCGCCCCGCCCCTCACCACCACCACCCCCCCGCGCCCCGCCCCTCACCACCACCACCCCCCCGCGCCCCGCCCCTCACCACCACCCCCACCCCCTCCCCCCTGGTAAAATGGCGGCCATGCAGAAGGCAGCTTCGCCGATTCACCACCAACAACAACAACAGCAGCAGCAGCTCCACAACAACAACAACAATGGCCAACAACAGCACCACCACCACCCTCCGCCTCCTCCTCCGCCGCCGCCTCCTCTATCCCCTCCGCCGACATCGTCACCATCGTCGTCGTCTACGACGGCGGCGGCGGCGTCGGCTTCCCCTCACCACCACCTCCATCACCACCTCCATCACCACAGTCAGCAGCAGCCGCAACAGCAACAGCAGCAGCAGCAGCTGTTGCAACAGCAGCCGCAGCAGCAGCAGCAGCAGCTGTTGCAGGGCAGAGCGGCGCCGGTACGGATCGGCTACTACGAGATCGAGAGAACCATCGGCAAGGGGAACTTCGCCGTAGTGAAGCTCGCCACCCACATCATCACCAGGGCCAAGGTAGCGATGGTGGTTGTTGTTGTGGTGGTTGTTGTTGTGGTGGTTGTTGTGGTGGTTGTTGTGGTTGTGGTGATGGTGGTGAAGCTCGCGACACACATCATCACCAGGGCCAAGGTAGCCAGCGCACGCCGCGACCCATTAAACGACGGTTGTGGTGGTTGTGGTGATGGTTGTAGTGATGGTTAGTCTGGTGTGGTGGTGAGATTGGTGTGGTGGTGATGGTTAGACTGTTGTGGTGGTGAGACTGGTGGTGATGAGACGGTGGTGGTGGTGAGACTGGTGTGGTGATGGTGGTGGTGAGACTGGTGTGGTGGTGGTGGTGAGACTGGTGTGGTGGTGATGGTGAGACTGGTGTGGTGGTGATGGTGAGACTGGTGTGGTGGTGATGGTGAGACTGGTGTGGTGGTGATGGTGAGACTGGTGTGGTGGTGATGGTGAGACTGGTGTGGTGATGGTGGTGAGACTGGTGTGGTGATGGTGGTGAGACTGGTGTGGTGGTGATGGTGGTGAGACTGGTGTGGTGGTGATGGTGAGACTGGTGTGGTGATGGTGGTGAGACTGGTGTGGTGGTGATGGTGAGACTGGTGTGGTGGTGATGGTGGTGAGACTGGTGTGGTGGTGATGGTGAGACTGGTGTGGTGATGGTGGTGAGACTGGTGTGGTGGTGATGGTGAGACTGGTGTGGTGGTGATGGTGAGACTGGTGTGGTGGTGGTGGTGGTGAGACTGGTGTGGTGGTGATGGTGAGACTGGTGTGGTGGTGATGGTGAGACTGGTGTGGTGGTGATGGTGAGACTGGTGTGGTGGTGGTGGTGGTGAGACTGGTGTGGTGGTGGTGGTGGTGAGACTGGTGTGGTGGTGATGGTGAGACTGGTGTGGTGGTGGTGGTGGTGAGACTGGTGTGGTGGTGATGGTGAGACTGGTGTGGTGATGGTGGTGAGACTGGTGTGGTGGTGATGGTGAGACTGGTGGTGGTGATGGTGAGACTGGTGTGGTGGTGATGGTGAGACTGGTGTGGTGGTGGTGGTGGTGAGACTGGTGTGGTGGTGGTGGTGGTGAGACTGGTGTGGTGGTGATGGTGGTGAGACTGGTGTGGTGGTGGTGGTGGTGAGACTGGTGTGGTGGTGATGGTGAGACTGGTGTGGTGATGGTGGTGAGACTGGTGTGGTGGTGATGGTGAGACTGGTGTGGTGGTGATGGTGAGACTGGTGTGGTGGTGATGGTGAGACTGGTGTGGTGGTGGTGGTGGTGAGACTGGTGTGGTGGTGGTGGTGGTGAGACTGGTGTGGTGGTGATGGTGGTGAGACTGGTGTGGTGGTGATGGTGAGACTGGTGTGGTGGTGATGGTGAGACTGGTGTGGTGGTGATGGTGGTGAGACTGGTGTGGTGGTGATGGTGGTGAGACTGGTGTGGTGGTGATGGTGAGACTGGTGTGGTGATGGTGGTGAGACTGGTGTGGTGGTGATGGTGAGACTGGTGTGGTGATGGTGGTGAGACTGGTGTGGTGGTGATGGTGAGACTGGTGTGGTGGTGATGGTGAGACTGGTGTGGTGGTGATGGTGAGACTGGTGTGGTGGTGATGGTGGTGAGACTGGTGTGGTGGTGATGGTGAGACTGGTGTGGTGGTGATGGTGAGACTGGTGTGGTGATGGTGGTGAGACTGGTGTGGTGATGGTGGTGAGACTGGTGTGGTGGTGATGGTGAGACTGGTGTGGTGGTGATGGTGAGACTGGTGTGGTGGTGATGGTGAGACTGGTGTGGTGATGGTGGTGAGACTGGTGTGGTGGTGGTGGTGAGACTGGTGTGGTGGTGATGGTGAGACTGGTGTGGTGGTGATGGTGAGACTGGTGTGGTGATGGTGGTGAGACTGGTGTGGTGGTGATGGTGAGACTGGTGTGGTGATGGTGGTGAGACTGGTGTGGTGATGGTGGTGAGACTGGTGTGGTGATGGTGGTGAGACTGGTGTGGTGGTGATGGTGAGACTGGTGTGGTGGTGATGGTGAGACTGGTGTGGTGATGGTGGTGAGACTGGTGTGGTGGTGATGGTGAGACTGGTGTGGTGGTGATGGTGAGACTGGTGTGGTGGTGATGGTGAGACTGGTGTGGTGATGGTGGTGAGACTGGTGTGGTGGTGATGGTGAGACTGGTGTGGTGATGGTGGTGAGACTGGTGTGGTGGTGATGGTGAGACTGGTGTGGTGATGGTGGGGAGACTGGTGTGGTGGTGATGGTGAGACTGGTGTGGTGATGGTGGGGAGACTGGTGTGGTGGTGGTGGTTAGGCTGGTGTTGGTGTCTGCGATTAGTAAACAAGTCCACGTCCATCCGAGCTGTCAACGCCAATCCTCAACCTCCGCTTAACGAGAGCGCGAGAGAGAGAGACCCCCTCCCCAACCCGCACCGCCGGTGGGCAGCAAAGCGCTTTACAGCTCGTCGGATTCCTCCCGCAATAACAAAATACAACCTCTCCGATTCCCTGCGTGTGTGAGTGAATCCACCACCACTACCACCACCCCCTCCCGGCACAGCTGGGCAGCACTTCACGACGTCACTGGCGTGGATGCGGTGGCCTCCTCGTGCGAGCGGAGCGGCGGTCACCGTCTCACCTGGGAGCAGCGAGCGGCAGAGGTCGCTAACGGGTTTTGATTCCTTACCCGTACCGGTACCCGGCAGCACCAGGGTCGCAAATGGGTACCCGTAGCCGGGTACGGGTTCCCTACCCGTACCCTACCTGAAATGAGTGACAAACGGCTACTCACCAGTGACTCACGGCCTACCCGTACCTGGCCGCACCAGGGTCGCAAACGGATACCCGGCCGGGTGCGGGTAGCCGGGTATCGGGTAGGGTACGGGTATCGGGTACCCGGTTGCGACCTCTGGCGAGCGGTCGTCTGTAGCGGGTCGTGGCCGCTGCGCTCCGAACCCGGCCGCCCGAGTTCGATTCCCGCTCCCGGCGGACACATTGTCGTAAACCGGTCCTGGGCCCTCCCCTAGGTCGACTCGGCCTCAAATGAGCACCTGGGGCAGTGTGTAAAAACATCGCCGCTGCTGGGGAGACAAAGGCGGCCGGGCGTGGTGTTGGTCACCCCCCTACCCCCCTCGTGTGTCGTGCCGGCCTTGATAGGTGCTCGCTAACAGCACTTGCCCCTGAAGTCTGTTGAGGCTATACGGGGGGGGGGGGGGGGGGGGGGTTCTTGTCTTAGCCGAGCGGTTAAAATACAGCAAGTTGGCACAGTAGTGGGGTACAGCTGGTGGTGCATCTACCGGTCATCTCGGTCGGCCCACCCTGCAGGGTCTTGCTCTAAGACCTGCACCTAGCCTGGCACAGTAGGGGTACAGCTGGTGGCGCATCTACTGGTCATCTCAGTCGGCCCAACCCATGGCACCTGCAGGGTCTTGTTCTAGGACCTGCACCTAGCCTGGCACAGTAGGGGTACAGCTGGTGGTGCATCTACTGGTCATCTCAGTCGGCCCAACCCATGGCACCTGCAGGGTCTTGTTCTGAGACCTGCACCTAGCCTGGCACAGGGGGATTACAGCTGGTGATGCATCTACTGGTCATCTCAGTCGGCCCAATCCGTGGCACCTGCAGGGTCTTGTTCTAAGACCTGTCAGCATTGAGCCTTCGACACTTCACGTGACGGCCTCAAAGTGCACCTGGCCTGGCACAGACGCCGTGGTGACGTCACCATCGAATGGCGGGGTAGCGGTGTTGGTCGCCTGACGAGACTGCAACTCCGACATTGCTCCCTGGGGGGGACGGAGAGTGGTAGGAAGGAGGTAGAAGATTGGTGGCCTCGCCGTTTGAGATGGAGTGGGTCGGGGTGGGGGGTGTTGTTATTTTTCTTCCGTGGCTCTTCACTCCAGTGACGTCACTGTGGTGTCGTGGTGGTGGTGGTGAGTGTAACCCGCACAGGAAGAGCGGCCAAATGTGGCCCGGCCTGCCCCCCCCCCACCATCGCCACCCCCGTCGGATCTATTGTGTGTGAGAAGCTCGGTCACGTTTTTCACATCACCTCGGTGGAGTGAGAGGGGTCAGACTCGACGGCGTTCCGTCGGTACCACGAGGCGCGTGCACAAGCGGGGGCCGTCCGTCACGTGCCGCCTGCCACGGGCCCCTCGCCATCTGTTTGGCACATCGGGGGGAGCAAGGGCCGTCCGTCACGTGCCGCCTGCCACGGGCCCCTCGCCATCTGTTTGGCACATCGGGGGGAGCAAGGGCCGTCCGTCACGTGCCGCCTGCCACGGGCCCCTCGCCATCTGTTTGGCACATCGGGGGGAGCAAGGGCCGTCCGTCACGTGCCGCCTGCCACGGGCCCCTCGCCATCTGTTTGGCACATCGGGGGGAGCAAGGGCCGTCCGTCACGTGCCGCCTGCCACGGGCCCCTCGCCATCTGTTTGGCACATCGGGGGGAGCAAGGGCCGTCCGTCACGTGCCGCCTGCCACGGGCCCCTCGCCATCTGTTTGGCACATCGGGGGGAGCAAGGGCCGTCCGTCACGTGCCGCCTGCCACGGGCCCCTCGCCATCTGTTTGGCACATCGGGGGGAGCAAGGGCCGTCCGTCACGTGCCGCCTGCCACGGGCCCCTCGCCATCTGTTTGGCACATCGGGGGGAGCAAGGGCCGTCCGTCACGTGCCGCCTGCCACGGGCCCCTCGCCATCTGTTTGGCACATCGGGGGGAGCAAGGGCCGTCCGCATCCGCCAGTTATCTCAGGCGGTCAACCCACGGCACCTGCGTAGGTCCCCGTGACGGTCCCCGTGACCCCCCCGTGACCCCCTTGCCAGCAAGCCTCAAGGCGCGCCCGGCACCACGTCGCTCGGCGCCAAACGGCGGCGGTTGCCGTCGCGAGCTGTCGGTAAACGGCAACGCGGTTCCCAATGCGTTCCCGCCGCCAATTGATGCGGGAATGCGGCCGCAGGGTGACGGCCGCACCGCACGGTCGAGACCGGTGACGGAACGTCGGCACACGGGTGAGCGCTCCCGATCCCCGCGGAGATGGA